ACAGAGAAAACCACTGCCAACGCCTAACTTGTATCCCCCAGAGACACCACTTCCACAGGCTATAATGCAATTAAAACTATCACCTTTATCTATATTGTTATTTTTCTGTGCAGTCCCCAGACTTTGCACATGATAAATGGAGAAGGAGAGTCAGCACAAAGGTGGGAGCTCAGGAGATTTGCTTGAAGTTCATACAAGTGAATTTGGGGGGGCTAGAATGATTGATTTTAAAAATCTCTTCCTTATTTTATACCTTGGAAACAATATGGAATTTTTCCAGTTACACATGCTTTGTCCTGGAATGTAACAGGCTCAGATGACTACAGACACTAATTACAACACTGATCCTGCAACATTTCTGATGGATTATTAATGAGAATTGCTGCTCTTTAAACGAGGAAGAAAAAAAAGAAAGAGAGAAGAGCCAAATAATTTACTAATCATAAACACAGGAACAACAAATGCAGGGATGTAAACTCAGTAGAAAGCAAAATTATGTCAGGTATTTGAAAATAAATTCTTGAATTATGAAGACATATGTGAAATTATATAAAAAATTGAGAACACGAGCTGATGAATGAAGGCTGCTTTTAATTTCTTTTCATTGGAATATTTGCATTAAGAATCAGGGGATACTTAATTAAATCTGAGATAGAAGAAGAAGAAAGTCCCAGGCAAATATTCTGGCCTGATTCTTCTACCATTTGCCTTGATTTTGCATTTTGCTGTTCTGCTGCCTTAAACAAATTTATTCCCAGTTTACGCCAGGGTAAGAGCCTCTCTAGTAGAGGAGCATCTCCATCATATTTGGATGAGTTTACTGGATGCTTCAGAATGATGAATATGTATAATATATATAATTAATGTGTGTACATCCTCATCACAGACACATCTGAAGATAAATGAATACATTACAGTGGAGTCTTACTTTTTTCTCTTGGCAAGGAAAGCAATCAGTCCATTCTGACCACTGGCTCAGCTGACAGTCGACAGGAGTTGGAGAATTAACATCTCTGCTGCTCCTTCTAGGGAGGGGAAGAGATAGCGGTCTAATGTCTTTGAAGTTGTGTTTTAAGGAGGGCCGGAGGCTAGCAGGGACAAAATCATCTCTGTGTGTACTTTTCCACCAGGAACCTCTTTTGTAGGAAATGGGAAGCATCCCTTAGCAGGGAGGGCTGTACTACCCGAGGTGCCCTAAGTATTCACCATCAGAATTGGTCAGGGGCAGCAGATGCAGGATGTGTCCTGGGTTTCCCGCTCGTCCAAGAGATCCTATCCCTTTTCAATAGGCAGATTGCAATAAAATATATGTACATCATCTATATAAGACCAAACACACTGAGTAAACAGAAGGAATGTCAAGAAGAGACAGGTTTTAAGGAAAGGATTCCTTTTTGGCTTTCTTCTCAGAAGCACATCACAAACTTCAGGAGTAGTGATGTGTATCACATTGGGCCTGTTCTGAAATCTATTGATTTCACTTTTTTTACACCATTGTGAACTCATGGTCAGTATTTTTCCCAACAAGTATGAAATCAGGGTCGGATTCCCATGGGCGTTATGGAGTGGTGGGAATGGCTGCACCAACAGTCCTGGGAAGGCAAGGTACAAAGCCGTGTTGACTATGAGAATTTGTTGGTTGACTATTTTTAAAAGGAAATACATAAATTCTGAGAAGAGGAAAATAACTAACAGAAGAGTATAAAAGCAGAAAATGGCAACGGTACTGTATCACAATGGCCCTTGGATCAGACTCTCTGCACATACACTGAATATCACTGTACAACAGAAGAAAATACTTCTCTTGTCTCCCAGCCCAGTCGTTACCATCTCTATTTCTGTCCCTACTGCTACAATCTTTATTTGTATAATGTGTTTCTTTGTCTTGAGGAGCAATCTGTGCTGTCCTAATACAACTCTGTGTTTACCACAGCCTTCGAAGCATTTTGAGGGGTTATTCTGAGCCAAAACATTATTATTATTATTTTGGTGATTAACTAATGAGCAGTCTGTTTTACTTACAAGACTGCAGTCCAAAGAGAAATATTGATAATTAGCAAAGGCACAGAGCACACTGGGGATTCATCAGAGGCTGTAGAAGAGAGACTACTAAATGAAAGCTGCAACAGCTCAGCAAGGGAGCCCGTGGATGCAGATCAGTGTGTGAGATAAAAAGCCACCATGTCTCCAGAAAAACAACAGGAGCCTGCAGACAAACACGGAGCTGGAGGACATGCATGTATTGATGCCTTTTCACTCTGACAGGAGGATTTGTGGGCTGTATCCTTCAGCACTTCACAAAATACTTAATTGGCTCACCTTCGATTGGATTTTACGTTTACCTCTTCATTATTATGCCTTGTTTGATAAGTTCATCAAACATCAAAAATCTCATCTTTGTTCATTTTCAAAAGGGATTATCGGAATAAGCCTTCATAATTAAGTGTATCACTACTGCATTTTTTTTCCTTTCCACCTTCTCCTTCTCTCCATGTTCCAATTATCACTGATACCTTTTTTGATCCTTCTAAATCATATTTGCCTTTAGAAAAAGCCTGAAATTAGTAGCTGTAGAAAAAAAAATCCAACCATTTTCCTATCATGACACTATAGCTTTAGGAAAAGGCAACTTGTTTATTCCCTTCCTTCAAAGCCTAAATGACATTTGTATAGGTTAATAATATTGTTCAGGGAAAAAAAATAGAGGTATGATTGAAAATTGGGTTATAAACATGCGCTTGTTAACTTCACATTGTCAAATGCAAAATAATTATAACAAAAAAAGAATATGAAAATTATTCCCTTACAAATCATCCTATATAGGGAATTCATTCCAAGTGCCCAAAACCAGCATGGTAATTTTGGTAAGGAAGTTTAAGAAGGCTTAATAGTCATCTCTAAAAGAAAAACCATTGTGCAAACAGTTCATATAAGAAGGAATTATGATGCCTGGCTTGGGCTTTAGACAACTGCCAATATTTTTTTTTCTGGTAGCTATTTACAGAGAACACAGTGTGCACATGCCTCACGTCAGGACAATATTGATGGGCTGACTGACTTGCCCGTAATTTCTATATGTATATTTGGGGGGGGGGGAAGACACTTACCTCTGGGAAGGCAATGCCTCAAGCTCCCTGCATGCTGTAGCCGTGGTCTGAAGTGCTGTTAAAGCCAGCGAGCATATAGAGAGAATCAGAGGAGAAAGCTGACACAGACTCCACTGCATTGTTTTTCCATATGTAAATATTTGCTATAGATTAGATACAAACAATAGCTTTAGGCTTCAGGACACTGTGGGGTGAGCACAGCTAGAAGAAACATGGAGCCCACCAGACTCCAAAATGTTGCAGTAAATCATTGATGACAGCACAGATCAGATCACAAAGAATCAGGACACATCCCAGAGGCCTTTGCCCTTTTGGAAACAAATTCCCACTTTTCTGGCAAGGGAAGCTATTAAACTGTGCCACTGTTTCCATGTTAAAGTCAATCAAGTCCTATTCCAGCAGTGTTTCTTGTCCAGCCTGCACCCCCCTTTTAATTTGAAGAAGGAGGAAACTCATTTTATTTCCCACAGTGACTTAGCTGCAATTTTGGTGCATCCAGTCACTGGCCAGGGAAAAGCTTCCCAGTACAGCAAATTGAAGATTATTATAAAATTCTGTTATGAGGAACATGTGCCCTCCAGATACATCAAGGAAATGTCAATTCAGCTTCTTCCCATTGCTATACCCATAAGATAGTGTCCCATCTCCAAAGCTGATGTGAGTTATCACCTGGCTTTTGGATGGCCCTCCACAGTCACAGCAACATGAGAATCTAAATCTTTGTTTTCTAAGTTACTTGGGATGAGGAAGATACCCCCTAAATCTGAAACTGTGTCCTATCCCATATGCTGTGCAAACCCATCTGTTAGTGGTGGCTCTAATGCTTTTCACTGGTTGGATCTTAACACAGAAGTAGTGGATGTGCACAAGTATAAGCAAGCAATACCATCCAAAGCAAGAATACATGGGTTATTTATTATTAAGACAATAGGCACAAGGTGAGAATATTTAGTTTCCATGTGTTGGAAGAAAGAAAAAAATGGCCATTGGAAAGACATTTGGTCATGCCATAGCAGTTGCCCCATACCTGTTTCCTCAAGCTTGCACATAGTCTGCAAAATTCCCCTGAGGGCTCTTGGGCAGGCACAAAAATGCACAAGGAATCTATAACTTCATTAGATATTAGTTAAAAAAAAGAGTAAGAGATCTATGGAGACTTCTGTTTGAACAAGTGTCTGTATCTCACTGCTTTTACCCTGCATAAGTGGGAAGAGACGCTTCATGCATAAATGAAGTGTTCCCAGCAGAAAACTGGAAGCTTGAACCTCAATAAATTCAAGAGAAGGTGTAATTATTGTAGGAAAATCTGGTCTTGGGCTATTATAGCTATTAAGCAGACAGTGAATTGTCCTCTGTCCACAAAAGACTGGGATAGAAGTGTCACTTTGTGTATTTCCCAAATTAATTGCAAAGCTAATTTAAATAGATGGTATTGTACATTATCAAAATAAAAGGACCTCTTACCATGTTATTTTAATGTAATTACAGTTCAGAATGACCCTGGGGCTTGTCTGTGCTAAACATGAAGAAATCTAGCACATGGGTAAACTCTGTAGTGAAACGAAATGAAAACTCCCTTTTTGTGACCTTTGAGACTATGTTAATGTAATCCCTTACCTACTAATGCACTTCAAATGAGTTCAGAAAGTCCTTCTTCTTTCTTCACCTACACAAGAACAACTCAAATAAGGGTTTTAATATTTTTTTTATATACTATTAAACCTAAATTGCTTTTGCCTGGGAGAAAAGCAGGGGACTGAAACTGGCCTAAGGCGATCCCCATCGTTACCTCCCTATTACACATTACAGCCTCTCTGCATGTTGCTGTTAAGACAGAACGACATAAAAAGGTTTTAGCAATGCTTATAGAAGTTTGGTGGGCATGGACCCCACTGTTCCCATGGTGGGAGCCTCCCTGGCCATCTGCCAAATCTGTCTTCATTCAGTCCACACTTCTGCCATCCTGTGATATAAACAGCTGCTTTGCACAGTCAAGTGCGTCCTCAGCATCTAAGCAAGACAGTTGAAGCATTATATCTTTTCTTTTCTGATAGCAGCATCAGAAACACACCATATATATAATGAAAGTTATTTGTGGCATATCTCCCAGGTGAAAGTCTGGACTGGTTTGTGCAATCAGGCATAACAACAATTTCGCACTGATAGGTGAGGTCGTTTGGGGGGAGGCATGCAAGAGAGATTTAAGCGACAAGCAAGGCACACCACATTAGAGGTGAAATTAAAGAACCTTTCTCAAAGGTGTTATGTTCCAAAAGTGGTAGATATAAAAGTTATGGTTCCATTTATAACATTATGAATTGAACTTGTCTAAAATGTGTGTTGGATCCTTGCCTCTAAACCTGAATTAACTCTCTAAACCTCTGGCTTGCAATGCTAGCCGTGCTGTCGATAGCGATGCAGTAACCTTCAGGATGATGAGCTGTGAACTGAAGTCTTGGGGCTCTTCAAGAGCATGGAAATACAGGCTGTGATTGGGCTGCACTGAGCAGCGAGCTCACTGCAGCAAAGCCTGGGTAGGAGTTTGCATCGTCACTTTGGGACTATTCCCGTTGCAAAGCTCTTTTCCCCAGCACTGAAGAACCCTTCACTGCCACCCTCTAATTAGAAGACACATAACTCCTAATTTACAACTCTTATGTATCTAAAACCAGGAGCAGATTAACTCAGTGTAAAGAAACTTGGGCACTCACTTTTCCTCTCTGATAGCACTACAGGATTTTGTTCCACTTCAAGAAGGCTCCACTTCAGATGTCTTTGGACCAACAAGGAGAATTAATTCCTGCCTGCAAAATGCATTGGTCTTTTAAATAGCACCTGAACAGCACATTCAGTAACTTTGCTGTCTACACGAGCCTAGCTCCAGGGTGAAGTTAAATTACAAGAGCTAACATAATGTTGTTGTTGTCCAGCAATTTGCATTTGTGCTTTCTTTATATGTAGATTTTTATTTTTTAGTATATTCATATGTTTTTTTCTGCAGGGGATACAGTTACTTAAAAGAATCATCCTTTTTTATGCCAATATTCTATTTATAATTTTTGGTAGTTATTCATGCAATACTGTAAATCTGAATTTTGTTCCTGACTTGAAGACCATGAACATCTAATGACAGAGTCCTGGTCTTTTTTGTTCTGTTTGATACATCATAACCCCAAAGTTCTATCTGAGCTGCTTGCTGTCAATGTGACTGACACCTGCCATGTGCTGTTTGTTCTCTTATGGTTCCCCAGGGAAAAGTGCAGAGCAGACAGCTTTTCATTCAGGGGTAGGGTGTTTTTTTAAAAAAAAAAATAGAGATTGTTGCAATGTACAGAGGTTATAGAGATGTTAGATATGGCAAGATGAATAAATTGTGCCTAGCAATTGGAGCTCTGCCCTTGGAAATTTTGCCATTTCACACATGCTTTCACAGCACACATGGGCTTTCTTAGCTCATCCTCTCTGCAAGCGCTGGAGAGCTTTCTCTGCACAGAAGCTTGGTAAAATAACTTCTGTTTTGCCAAAGAAGCAAAGCTGGTTATCAAGGTCTTCATCTCTGAACTTCGAAATCAAAATCCCAGCACAGATACCTTCAAGAGAAGGGTTTAGATTTAGAAGATGGCTTTATTGTATGGCAAACACAAGACACAAGTAGAACCATTAAAAAGGATAAAAGAGACATAATGAGTTCGCTATAGTTTGTGCTGCTGAGCAGATGCTCTGTGCGAGATGATGTTTCTGCAGCCTTGAAGGCCTCATGCCTGTGTGTGCTGCATTACTGCAGGGCAGGGAAAGGATGCTGCAGGCTGTACCAGACAGTGGTCATCACCCTCCATGTCAGTGGGGTGACAGCAAACACTGCCTGCAGGTGCTGGCAGGAGTGGTCACTGTCATAGTGATGGTCCCACGCCACAGGGACCAGTCACTGCAAACACCAACACGCTTTTCCTCTGTGCACTGGTTGTGCATCTTGTTTCCTCAGGTTCAGCTGTTCTTCATCCCCAGCTTAAATTCTCTGGCCACTGAGTGCTCACAGTGAGATGGTGCATTGTAATGACCAGCAAAGCTCTGTGTCATTTATGTGCATCAGGCACGTGTCCTAGTTACTGAACCCAGTGGCTGCAGAGAGCTGTGGAAAAGGTCCACCTAAGGACCAGAAGACACCGACAGTCCTAGTGCTGGACATGCCAGTCCTCATTTGGTGTCAATGAATACCGAACCGGTCTGATAACATACCTTCTACCAGAGTAAACAGGCTGAAACACAAGAGCAATTGTATGGGGTATACTGCTAAAAAAGAAGTATGCACTTAACTGTTTGTGGGGTCAGGGCCATACTGCAGAGACAACATTGTAGCTTGGACAGATAAAAAATCTGAAACATTGCAAGGCCTTTAAGTTAATTTTCTTGACTGCTACAGTACTTTGATGGGACTGATGTTAAAACTTCTGAAGGAGCCACATGGATACCTACATTGGCCTCTCCTAAACAACACTTCGTCCTGGCCAGTAAAAGAAAGTGTTAGCTTTTAGAATATGGGGATCAATAATACTGCGTTTTCTTAAATTCCTCATTAATGCCAATAATGCAAGACAGAACAAACCGCTCAGTGGTGGAACAAGTGATCCTATCTCCCCCTCTGCTGGAAAACCACGATATGACCTCCTGGCAGAAAAAAGGTGAGATGTGCGGAGAACCGGTCTGGGGTGGCTGCTCTGGCCCTCCCGGGGACAGAATAAGGCATAAAAACTGAACCAAAATCCCCCGTAGCACAAGGCAGTGCCCTGATATCCACTTTTGCCCATTTTTCTGGGTTCTGAGGTGTTTTTTCAGATATATGGACCCTACTGCACTGCACCCAGGAGCAGCTGTTTCCCTCACTCTGTGCCCCAGCTCCTTCCCCAGTGGTGTCCCACATGCATGGCCAATAGCTGTGACAAGGGAAAATAACTTGTCAGTCTATCCCCAATCTATAATACTATGACACTGGGCTAATGTTACCAGCAATTATGTCACAGGCAATACCCAAATCTAATTGTCTTCCAAAGAAGACTGGATTGCCAAAAATTTCCCTGGTCTTCACCAGTCATGCTGCTGCCCATTCTCAAAGTCTGAAAGA